GTCGTAGGTACTTTGTCTCTTTGTGTACAATGGGAGAATGGCGAGACGTGTTGAGAGCCCCGAGGAAGTGGACAATGTCGGTAGTGCCACTCGTAGTGCAGGCCCGATCGAAACAAGATCTGAACTGCAGATTGTATGCGTACACATACACGTACGTTGATCAAGGTTGGCCTCACAAAGGTCCCCAAAGGCGCGGACCGCGGTCGACTTGTACGACAAACGGTCTTGCAGGCGACGGGCCCGTCCTCGTCCCTGTCGGGCAGTGTGGCAAGGTTCGAGTGCGTCGCGTCGGGCACAACAACAAAGGACAACAGGCCCAAGAAGGCAAATCGACTGGAATTCTCGTCTGTTCAACGCTTTGCACGCTTTTGTTGTGTTTGGCCCCAGGGGCAAGGGCGACCAATACCTGGACTCAGGGCAGAAGCATGTGACAGCGCACTATATTGTTTCAGCGGGTGTTCCAGGGGCCCTAGGCCGCCGACCCAAGTGGGGGGCATTTCTTGTTGGGAAAGTGGCAACTAACACGCAAGATGCCGATTCACTCAGGTGAGAGGTCACGTGTGTACATCAGCGAGCGTTGAGTGACATTGCCCATCTTGGCCACTCTAGTTTTCATAACATTCTTCCATGTCCTGAGCAAAAGGTCTGTCGCTCTTGGCATTGCTTTCTGAGCATCTTTCATCGAGGCTCGAGCTGGCCCAAGACGCGAGGTAACAAGGGACAAAGGTAGTCCGTACTCCGTACACCTTTGTGCAACGATCAGTGGTACACAAACAGGCGGCTGTACGACGTCGGCAACTAGTTTGTCGCAGTACATCGACTACATTCCGGTGTGAAGTGTGAAGTTGTGAAGGATGCTGAGAAGAATGCAGGGGTTTGGAAACTGAAGATATGTTGGCAGTTGATCGTTTGAAGGTATTTCATCATTATTTTTGACTTGTCTTTACTTTTATATGCATTTTTTTTTAAAAAAAAATAAGAAGAAAAGAAAAGAAAAGACAAAAACTACAAACAATGCTCAGATTTCCTTCCATTTCTATGAAACAAAACAATCCTTTGGAACCTGTCGAAACGGAGGCACGGTCGGTCAGCAAGAGGATGCTGCCCACGACCTTTTCTTTCTTGCCAATTTAAGAAAGCGTGAGATCTCACCACAGTCCCAGATAGCGTCGTCATTCGCCGTTGGCCTGGAAGCCTGGCACGCCTCGCCCAGCCTGGCCCTGATTTGCTTATTTTTGGCTTCAGCCGCCAGGCTGGTTCCTGCCCAGACCAGCCCCACCAAGGCTCTCTCTGGGTCTGCTGTTTCCTTTCCCCTGTTGCTCACCTTTATTCCGCAAGCTCGTATTTTTAGAAGGCCAACTTGCCAGCTTCGCCCTATCGAGCACTGTCACAGCACTAGCCCAGGGGTCCGTGGGGCAGTGCTCATTCTTTTGGCTGCGTCGCACGCTTTTTGCCGTTGCGCGGCAGGCGGACGGTAGGCGGGTTGCTCTTGCCAAAACCTTGTTTGGATTATTTGGGTTGTTTGGCCCCGTCGCGAGGTCCCGTCCATCGTTCCTGCTGTGCTAAGAACAGACATGCCTGCTGGGATTTGCGGATTTGCGGTACGAAGGGCGGATTGGCGAACCAAGGCTTCTTGATTATTCTCTCCCTTTAGCTTTTGAGCTACGGCTGTCTCCTTTCTGTTTAAAGATCGTCGTGCACCCGCTTGCTTCTTGCTTCTGCCTCACTTCGCATTCACATTGCCGTCACTCTCGCCGGACTCCCACGCTCGTTGCTCCATACACTAGACCCCAGTCGCTCCTTCCTCGACTGCACCCTCCTTTCCGCCTGCCCGCGACGATAATATAGCTTCCCGCGCGCTCCTTCCTCAGCCGATTCGAACCCGACCGTCGTTCCTTCCTTCTCGACATCACGAACCTGCCGTCTCCAGCTCTTCCTGGCAAATATCAATCTTCTTTCTTGCTTCTCTTCTCTGTCCTTCTCTCGCCTCTGTCTCTCTTCTTTTTCCCGACAACCAGCGGTCAGCCGCCTTTTCGAGCACGCGCGGACCGACCTCTCCTCGCATATCCGTGCCTTTTGTCTTTTACCCACCTCTTCACACACACACCGTCTTCGCCATGTCAACCGAGGGCCTCTTTGGCGATGACCTCGTCAGCCCCGAGGTCACGTCCCAGCTGCCCCAGGGCTACCGCATCCGCTCGCTGCGCTCCACCGACTTTGCGACTGGCTTTCTCGACTGCCTGCGCGTGCTGACGACGGTCGGCGATATCACCGAGGCCGCGTTTGTCGAGCGCTACAACTACTTTGCCCAGCAGAAGGGCACCTACTACGTCCTCGTCATCGAGGACACCGTCGGCAAGGTCGTCGGCACCGGTGCGCTCGTCGTGGAGCGGAAGTTGTGAGTCCACACGTGTACCCCCCTGCACACGGTAGACTGTGCATGCGTGTCCGTTGCTAACCGTGTCCCCCCCTTCCCCCCTTCTCAGCATCCACAACCTGGGCATTGTCGGCCACATCGAGGACATTGCCGTCGCCAAGGACCAGCAGGGCAAGAAGCTGGGTCTCCGCATCATCCAGGCGCTCGATTTCATCGCCGAGAAGGTCGGCTGCTACAAGACGATCCTCGACTGCAGCGAGGCCAACGAGGGCTTCTACGTCAAGTGCGGCTTCCGGCGCGCCGGCCTCGAGATGGCCCACTACTACAACACGGCCGGCAACACCAACGGCGTTGCTGCCAAGTCCAGTACATAAGAGACCCCCCGTCCCCGACCGTTCCTTTGCCTTTGCCCCTGCTCCCACCGCACCACGTCCGCAGCTTGGCATGCGGCTGACTTGGTTCTTTGCTCTTCGACGCACTCTAGACAAGCTGTGAGCTTTGCTTCAGTTGAGGCAGGCCGCCGCGGACAGGCCTGATTTTACCACGGCGGCAGGGATACGTGACGAGGGCACTCCTCGTGGCGCATGGCGGCGTTGCTAGTGGCCGTGGCGAGGGTGGATTTGCAAGGTCAAGGTCATTGAACGGCGACCTCACGATTCTTTTGATTTTTATTATATTTATTTGCATTTTCTCCGGTCCTCTGTTGACACACAGCGACCGTGATGGTTTGGCGCACGAGCATACGTGTTTGATTTGGGTTCTTCGTCTCGCATATAATATATTTCTAGACGTCTTCTTCCATTTGCGGCGATTTAGAGGCGGGCTTCGCAGGAGTCGACAGAGTCATGCAGAGACGGATCTACTCGGCTATTGGCAATCAATATACAGCCGCAAGCGTATTTTCCCATGTTACTCTTTACGCCGTATGCAATACATTGCAACCGCTTGCGTGCTTGAAAATGAAGCGGTAGTTCATGGCCAATGCAGTATTTACCGTAATGCTTTGTCAAACTGCTCGTCATAGGGCACATCCATTTGGTGTGCCTCGAAAATGCGCCAATAAATCGACCAGGCCAAGACCGGCGACGGGTCTTGTACCCAACTCGTATTGAGGGCAGGACTGGGTGACGCTCGTTTGGTACTGCATCGTGTCTCGTACACAGCAGTGTCGTATACGTCTGTTGGTGTTGGGCATCCTCGTTTTCATGGAGTATTGGCCGGAAATCCGATGTACCACCATCCAAGCAATAGGCCACTGCACCCCGTTGTCGTGGTCAATGGCCTCGTACAAGCACATGGGAAGACAGGATGGAGAATGACTCTGTATGCCATGCAGCAGACGAAATGCAGCAGACGACATTCAGCCCGCCAGCTGCGATGATCCTTTCCTCAACCCGAAAGGAAGAGAACCCTTCCGATGTTATTTGCCCACTTGCCCTTCCTTTTTTTTACTCGGAGATCATCAGTTTTCAGCACAAGAAGACCTCTCAATACTTGGATTGCCCGCATCTTGGTTTCCTCTCAACGTCTCCATCTCCTTCTCGCATCCTCTCATTCCGCTGCCCGCTTTCCCAAAGCGTCTTCTTCCGGCGATCCTTCAAACCCACTCGCACAATTGGTTGCGGATATCCGTCGAACCCCACGCGACATGCATTTTCCAGCGCCTTTGGGGCTTTGTTGCCGTTCGTTTGGTTCTTTCAGGCCTGGGTTTGGCCTGTTTAGCGTCTGGGCTTGGCTCGTAGTATGTCGTACTTTGGTGGCGCTTCCCCTCACTCACTGGCTGCCCGTCTAAAGGGCCAAGGCACTATGCCGCACCCGTGCCACGCAATGCTGGACAATCACATGTCTTTTTCTCGCATGTTTTAGCATTTTGCTGCACTTTACGACGTATTGCTTTTGGTTGGCGTGTAGCGTGTCTCCCGCCCCGGTCGGTTGTGGGTGCTTCCTTCCCCTTTTGGGCAGTGCTCCTTGGGTATTTTGGAAGGAAGCGACCACTTACACAGTAATTACACCCCATTGTGGGCAGTGACGAACCACATGTCACCTGCCACACGACTGAAAACACAAAGCCCGACTTGACAAAAAGGAAGGAAGGAACTTTTGTTGGACGGGGGAAACAACGACTGGCACGCCTGTCGACCCACTACTTACTGTGCCTGGTATATATCCTGTCGTGGCGTGCACTTCTGTCTCCTCGCTCTGTTCTCTTCTCCTTTGTCGTCTCCTCCTTGTTCTTTGTGACCATCGACTGCTTCCGCACTTTCGGGTTCTCACAGCCCTCCACACTCGTCGGATATCCCCAACCCAGATCCCGCTCCCGCGTCGTGCAAAGAAAAAGAGAGCCTCGTGCCGTCAGATCTGAACCTCTCGTTAATCTCGTCTCCGTCTTCTCCTCCTTCTCGTCATCTATTTTTGTCTTTTGCATCCCACGCCCTCTACCCTCTAGCGCAGCCCCTTTGTTTATCCTCACCACGACTCCGGTCTCAGAAACGCCTATATTACCACTCTATTGTTCGACTCTGTCGTCAACTAGCCCGACTGGCCGCCAGGTTTACCAGTGTACCCCAGTCCCATACTGTTCGTTCTATTATTCCGCCCGCACAAACAAACAGCAACCGCCACCATGGAGCCGCCTCGCCTGCGTACATATACGGCCGAGGGCACCACGCCCTTCCCGAGCCTTCCCACGGATGCAAACGCAAACGCAAACTCGAACTCGACCTGGAACTGGAACTGGAACGCGCAAAATCGTCGTGCATCGGTCAAGTCGCTCGACGAAAACGAAAAGTTCACGGCGCACTGCAACAACGCGCTGGCCAAGATCCGTCTGGGCTACATCCGTCTGCTGTACGTTTGGTGTTGTGCTACCCTCCCTTGTTTTCCTGCCGATTTCCTGTCCGTTTTTAGGATGCTCGCCTTGACTCTGTCGTGTTCGACTGCCGTGTATTATCCCGACATACACAGCAGAATCAATCTCACTCGCACTCTCACTCGCACTCTCACTCTCACTCGCAGTTGGCCTCGGCCGCAATGGCAAGCCAACAGTATAAACTAACTCCACCACCCGTGCAGGGCCCGTGACAAGCTCGAGACCAACACAAGCCGTGACGTTGTCCGCCGCCGCAACTCCAAGGTCACGCCCGTCCACCAGTTTGGCAAGCCTGCTCAGTTCACGAAGCGCACCGTCACCCGCACGGTCTCTTTCAGCAACTAAACCATCTTTTTCTATACCAACTGTACAAGCAGGGGACGTGAACGGACAACATGTGGTCCAATACGTGGTCCAATACATCGGCGAGCGACAAGAGCCGTGCCGTGAACGGTACGAGCAGTGGAAGCAGCCGCGCCGAAGCAGAGCGGTCGTGGATCATGGGCAAGGAGGTGTTTGAGGCGCGCATGCCGCACCACAGCGGCATCAAGGCGCTGTGGGAGACCAAGTGGAAGTTTCCGTGCACGCAGAGCGTGTACCCGTTCCACGACGGCCAGTACGAGGACTTTGAGCCCATCTTCGCGCACCTCATTGCCAACGACATCAACGACGGCACGTCGGCGGCCTACACGGAGGCCTTTTTCCCGACCGCCGAGGCATTGACGGCCCAGGCGGACCAACTGCTCGCGGCCGCCGACGGACGCGACGACGGCAAAGACAAGGAGGCCCACAAAGCGGCGTCCGCCCTCTACCTCCGAGCCTGCGCCATCTACCGCATTGCCCGGTTCCCCTACATCACGGCGGCGCCGACCGTCAACGACGAGGTCAAGTGGCGCGCATGGACGGCACAGAAGGCGGCGTACCTCAAGGCGGCCAAGACGTGGGAGGTGCCCATCGAAGAGGTGCTCGTGCCGCACATCCACCGGCGCAGGGTGCACGACGACGGCAGTGGTAGTGAACACAGTGTGGAAGGCGACGCCATCCCCGTGTACCTGCGGCTGCCGCCCGAGGCGCTGGCGCCGCGGCCGGTCCCCGTCATTGTGCTGCTCACGGGCCTCGACGGCTACCGGCCGGACAACACGGGCCGCTGCGACGAGTTTTTGGCCCGCGGCTGGGCCAGCGTGGTGCTCGAGATCCCGGGCACGGCGGACTGCCCGGCGGACCCGGCGGACCCGACGAGTCCCGAGCGGCTCTGGGACAGCCTGTTTGCGTGGATGGCGGCGTTCAGCGGCGTGTTTGACATGCGGCGCATCGTGGTGTGGGGCCTCAGCGCGGGCGGCTACTACGCCGTGCGCATCGCCCACACGCACCGGGCGCAGCTCGCCGGGTCCGTGGCGCAGGGCGCGGGCGTGCACCACTTTTTCGAGCCGGCCTGGCTGGCGCGCGCCGACGGGCACGAGTACCCGTTCCAGCTGACGCCCGCGCTGGCCCGCAAGCACGGGTTCGCGACGGCGCAGGACTACGTCGCGGGCGCGCAGGCCAAGTTTTCCCTGCTCGCGACGGGCCTCCTGGACCAGCCGTCGACGCGGCTGCTGCTGATCAACGGCACGCAGGACGGGCTGATGCCGATCGAGGACTCGCTGCTGCTGTTCGACCACGGGTCGCCCAAGGAGGCGCGGTTCTTCCCGGGCAAGCTGCACATGGGCTACCCGTTTTCGAATGCATCGGTGTATCCGTGGATTGAGAGCGTGATGGCGTCGGTCAAGGAGTAGGGAGCGAGCCGGGCGAGTGGATCATGCGAGTGGAGTTTTTGACCGTTTGAATTCTTGTTTTACTTTTTTTTTTTTTTTTTGTTTTGTTATTTTATTTTGCAAGATATCTTGGGCGATATATTTGAATACGATTTCCGTTTCTGTTTGTTTCTTCCTTGACCGCATCTCACGTGAACCTGAAGTTGATGTAGGAAAACCCCGGCTCGACCACGTCCTCGCCCAGCACCGCGACGTCGGCATCGCCCGCGGCACCGGCCGCCACGAGCAGCGGCGTAAAGTGCTCGACCGTCGGGTGCGACCGCCGAAACTCGCGCAGCGGCTCGAGGGCCAGCAGCGCCGCGCGCCGGTCTTGGGCGTCGCGCCGCAGCGTCGCCGCGCGGATGTGGTCGTCGAGCGTGCGCGACTCCTGCAGGACCCGGGCGTGGGCGGCCGCGCGGCCGGCGTCGGTCGTTTCGGCGGCCACCTCGGCCCGCGACGCAAACGAGTGCACGGCCATGCCGGAGGCGACAATCAGGAACCCCTGCCGCCGCAGCGCGCCGAGCGCCTCGCCCAGCCGCACCTGGCTCGCCAGGTCGGCCCCGTGGAGCGTCGACACCTGCACGACGGGCAGGTCGAGGGGCGCGTCCTCGGGGAACATGATTTTGAACGGCACCCAGAGGCCGTGGTCGACGCCGCGCTCGACGCGCTTGGCCGCGATCGGGCCCGGCGGTGCGCGGCCCCGCAGGTGCTGCCACACGGCGCCGGCGAGCGCCGGGTCGTCGCGGTGCGGCCACGCCTCCTGGTAGAGCGCGGGCCGCGTGTCGTGGAAGTCGTTGACAAAGTCGTGCAGGATGGGCGTGGCGGGCTTGACGTTGACCTCGACGACGCCCGGCCCGTGGATCGCGCCGGCCTCAAAGTGGCCGCTCAGCGTCAAGAGGGCGCGCGGCGGCGGCGTGATGGCCTGGATCTCGCGGCCAATCGCCCGCAGGTTCTGGCGCACGACGGTGCCGTTGGGGTCTTCGCGGAAGAGCAGGCTGGCGCCGGCATGGCCGATAAAGTAGACGGGCAGCGGCGCCGCGTCTGCGGCGTCCGCCGAGGACGCGTCTGTCGCGGAGGGCATGTTGTCGTACGGTGGGAGCTGTGTCGCACCGCAGAAGTGTGATGTTGACTACGGCGTGTGTGCCGATCTATCAAAAGACTGGATTGAGAGCGAGCGTGGGCGGCTCGACGTCTTTATGCCATATGGGTTTTATCTTTGTTTGCTCGCTTGCTCTCACTTACATGACGGGGTCTCCATATGGTGATGGTGCGGTTGCGTGATGCAGTAGCCATTATTGTGCCATCGATTAGCGGTGCAGACACGCATATTCACCCAACCGGCGCCAAAAGCCAAACGCCAAAGAGCCACAACAGAGTCAGTTCATATGTCATGTTCAATGTCATGTTCGCGGCAGTGCGAGATGCAAACAAAACGCTGTATTTTTGTGTTTCCGTTGTTCCATTCTATGCTCGTTTTCTACTTTCGAAATCACTCCTGTCCTCCCCTCCTTTAATGCACCTACTTCTCCGGCTCCGAGACAATGTCGCCCGCGGCATTGTAGAAAATCTCCTTGACCTTGACCGAGCGCAGGTGCGTCACGCCGCCCGACAGCGACGAGTCGTGGTGGAACAGGTACCAACGGCCCTCAAACTCGACCACCGAGTGGTGCGTTGTCCACCCGACGACAGGCTCGAGCATGCGGCCGCGGTAGGTAAAGGGGCCGTAGGGGCTCGTGCCCGTCGCGTAGCACAGGTAGTGCGTGTCGCCCGTGGAGTAGCTAAAGTAGTAGAGGCCGTTGCGCTTGTGCATCCAGGCCGCCTCAAAGAAGCGGCGGTCGTGGTCGTCGGCGGCAATGGGCTGGCCCGTCTCGGGCGCCAGGATCTGGATCGCGCGCACCTCCTCGGCCAGCCGGCCCATGTCGTCGGCCGCGAGGCGCACGACGCGCGGGCCCAGGGCGGCGACGCCCGCGCCGGACGGCTCCTTGGGCCCCAGCCAGCTGGCGTCGTAGGTCTCGGCGTTGCCGTCGCCGCGGCCGTCGGGGCCCTGGTAGCACTGCAGCTGGCCGCCCCAGAGGCCGCCAAAGTAGAGGTAGGCGGGCGCCTTGTCGCCGTCGACGGCCACGTCGTCGACGAGCACGGCCGGGTCGATGCTGTAGGAGCCGGGGATGTAGTCCGGGTCGGCCTTGAAGGGGCCCTCCGGGCGGTCGCCGCGGGCGACGCCAATGCGGAAGATGCCGTCCTTGTCGCGGGCCGGGAAGAAGAGGTAGTACACGCCGTCGCGGACGGCGGCGTCGGGCGCCCACAGCTGCTTGGAGGCCCAGGGCACGTCCTCGACCTTGAGCACGACGCCGTGGTCGGTGACGAGCGCGGGCGGGTCGATGGACGGCGTGCTGAAGACGTGGTAGTCGTTCATGTCGAACTGGTCGCCATTGTCGTTGAAGGCCACGTTGGACTCGCGGTCGTGCGACGGGTAGATGTAGATTTTGCCGTCAAAGACGTGGGCCGAAGGGTCGGCCGTGTAGAGGTGCGTGATGAGCGGCGGCGGCATGTTGGCGGTGGTGCTGGGGTTGCTGTGGTTCTGCTCAAAGTGTGGCCAATGCTGTGTCAATGTTGTGCAATGCTCCAGTTCCAAGGCAAAGCCGTCACGGATGGGCGGCCACTGCTTTTAAGGATCCCTCGATCGTCCACCGTCTCGCCCAGCCGACCCTTCTTCACCTTTCCCCTTCCCGCCGCTGGCTCCTCGGCCGCGTCTTGTCCGGAGTGCAGCCCCGCGTTTCCGTGCGCTGGTGAAGAAAAAGCGTCGAGGAGACCACGCAAAATCCCCCATTTCTCCAAAACTGCCCCATCTGCGTCGCTTGTCCTATTTAGCCCGTCCCCCGCCAGTGCATTTATCCATTTATCCTCCCGCAACCCAAGACTGCCAAGTCCACTATTTGCGGAGCTGCACGTCACTCGGGGCCTGCGGTGGTCGTCTCACGTTGTTTTGCCGCCGATGCGCCTACTGAGTCTTTCGAAATTCTCCTGTCCGATTAGCGCTGGGCCCTGACGAGCACCCGACCTGGTATTCGGGTGGGGATCGGGCGGCTGTCATTGCCGAGGAGGACGACAGGTTTCCATCGAGGATATCGATGTCTGTCGGCGTCGATCCTGGCTGTATGTAGTATGCAGAGCTTTGTAGCCGACGCCGACGTCGACGTCTTATGCCATAATTTCGGTGTCGAGTCAGTCCTCCGGTGCACGCAGTCTGTTGAGCCATGGCAGTTGGCACTGACTAGACTAGCTAGGCTGGGCACGCAGCCATCAGCCTGTCTGCGACAAAGCAACAAGTATATCGTGATCATGTTATTTGTCGGTTCATCTTGCGGCTGGATCGCCGACCGAACTGAAGGCAGTGGACGGTGCATACCCGATCACGAGTTCCTTTTGTTCCCGCTCCTTCTGTTTCCCGTTCTTCCCTTATCCAGCCGCTCTTTCCACTGCACGAGTTTGTTGTACCTTGGTCGCTCTTTCTGCAGAGGGGTGGATTATCGGACAGCACCTGCTCAATGCGCACCGTACGTTGGCCTATCACCACCACCACAGCAAGCCACAAATTTGCTTCGCTCCTTTTTGGACCAGGGAATTTACATTGTACGACACACTCCATAGAAAGCTGCAGGATGGAGGCCTGGTGACACTCACTGTCGTGGTGGCCCAGCAAGGCTGCCCTGTTTTAGCCCAGACAGCGTTGCTACCACAGGGCAGACACGATATCCGTTGTCAGAGCTGCCGGCCGCTTCTCCTCTGCATGCGTTTGTCGAGTTTGTCGAGTTGTGTCTCTCCATCCCTGCATGTGTCAGTATCCTGTCCAACGGCCTCCAGCTACCAAACTATTGTTTTGGTCCAACAGCCACATTGCAGTCGACGCCGCCAAATTGCAAAATTGCTCTTCTTTCGGAGCGAATCAAACGGTCGAGTCGTCTCGCGATGCATGCTCCTTTTCGAGCAGTGTCGATTGCTGTGCAGCCGTCTCGAATGAGGCTCAATGATGTCCGTCGATTGTAATGTGCGTTGTACGATATACCGTGTCAGACAGCAAAGACACCAGCAGCCAGACCGGCCAATGTTGGTCTCTTTCTACGGAGTAAATATTTCGTACCTCCCACTGGGTGCATCCATTTCCGGATTGCCCTCTCACATCGACCTCCCCACGCCGCTCCGTCGCGTCTAGACCCGTTCTGTCTTGATGGCTATGCCAATATTTGGCTCGCACTCTGGTTGGCCAGCCCGAAGCGAGAGTGTCGAGCGTCTGGCCTGGATGGGCGTCCGATGCCCGTGGGGCTGAGAAAAGGAGAACCGGTATTGGGCGAATGACAGGGGACAGCAACCAAGAAAAGAAGAAAAGAAGACGACTCGATTTCCGCGCCCATGCCACACACAACACAGAGAAGAGAAAATGCCTGGCCAGGTGCGGAATTCACAATGGTGGGCCGTGCCCGGTCATTTGGGCGCCTCCTGACGAAGGCAGAGTTGCGGGAGACAAAGCTGAAAGAGACAAAACCGAAAAAAGGAAATCAATAAAAGACGAGGCAGGCAAAGAGGAAGCCAACCAGAGATACCTGCACAAAGGTGGTCCACAAGAACCGCCCGTAATATACGACGTGGTGTTCCCTTCTCGCGTCGGTGACATACTTTCCCACTCTGCTGTTGCCTTGCCTTTTGTTTACTTCCAATCTCACGATTGAGGCTTCTATCGTCCCATCAGACCGTCTTGGCAACCTTTCCCCTGACCTTACTGTGTGCACCTCTTCACCTTTTCACCTGTTCACCCGCTCTTCACTGCACCCGCTCACCCATGCTGGTCCCTCCGGCTCCCACGGTGGCCGCGACGCTGGCCACGGCGGCCACACTGACCCGGCTGCCGCACCTGCCCGCCACCACGGCCTTTGCCACGCGGATGCTCGAGCTGCGCCAGGACCTCTCGACCAACTTTGCGAGCAACGACCTGTCCTGCTTCGACTACATCGCCTCGCTCTCGTGCGACGACGCGTACATCAGCTGCATCGACGGCGTCGAGTCCCAGTTCTATGGCCCCGACACCACGGCCACCAACAACGCCGGCTACTCGAAGCTGGACAGCGGCATCTCGTCGTGCTACTGCAACTACGGCGTGCAGTACCTCAGCTGCTACTATTCGGCGCTCGGCAACAAGGCCTGCACGAGCTACTTTGGCACCTACGACTGGACGAGCTATGAGTCCTACTGGTTCCAAGACAACTGCGGCACCGTGCCGCCGACTCTTTTTGGCGGCGCCGGCGGCGGCGCCGGCAAGACCACGAGAGACACGACGCCGCCGTCCGTCGTGTCGTTGGACCTGCAGTCCGTCCACGTCGTCACGGCCTCGACGCAGCCGCCGCTGCTCGCGCTGACATACTCGCCGCGCTTCCAGAGCACGGGCAGTCTGCTGCAGGACGAGTGTGCATCCACGCAGTTCACACTCATCGAGGACAGCAGCACTGTCTACTGGGCCGCCTACATCGGCTGCGCCAGCAACCAGCCGCAGTGCTGTCCCTGGACGGCGTCGTCCGAGTTCTTCCCGGCCACGGTCACAAAAGACACGACGGTGACCGTCACCGCCACCGGCACGCCCGGCGCCACCGGCACCAACGTCGCCCTCAATGCCTTTCCCCAGCCCGCCAACCGCGACCAGGGCGTCCTCAAGGCCTGCGCCTCCGACTACTACAGCATCTCGGGCCAGTGCTGTCCGAGCAACTACTGGCCGTTCACGCGCGACCTGGGCGGCCAGACGCCCTGCTACTCGTCGCTCCCCGCCGTCACCGAGGCGCCCACGCTCACAGCCGGGCTCGTCGGCGAGCCCACCAACACGCAGAAGCCCACCTCGGCCGTCGTCAACGTCGTCTGGGCCATGAGCTACCCGGTCGCGTCCAAGGGCGGCCTGTCCGCGGGGGCCATTGCCGGCATTGCCGTCGCCGCCGTCGTCGTCGTGGCCGCCCTCGCGGTGCTCAGCTTCTTTTTGTTCCGCGCGCGCCGCAAGAACAAGCAGCTGCAGACGCAGGCGCAGGCGCAGGCGCAGACACAGCAGGTCCCTGCTGGCCAGCTGGCGCCTCCACAAGCGGTCGCCCCCGAGGGCGGCGTTGTCGCCGGCGCGGCGGCCGTGCCGCTGGCCTACGACGCCGACAAGCCACAGGGCGTGGCCCAGGTGCCGCCGGCTGGTGGCTATGTGTACCCGCAGCAGCAGTATCCCCAGCAGCAGTATCCCCAACAGCAGTATGCACAGCCGGGATTCCCCCAGCAGGGCTATGCCCAAGCGGGCTACGTCCAGCCAGGCTACGCCGACCCGCGCGCCAGCCTGGCGCCCTCGTCGGCCACGCCCACGTCCCAGCTCGTGTCGCAGACGACCGGCACCACCAATGTGAGCGAGCTGAGCACGCAAGCTCTTGTCGGTGGTGGTGGTGGTGGTGCGCCGAGCCCGGCACCGATTGTCGAGGCCGACGAGTCCGCCGCCGCAGCTTACCATCAACAACTGCAACAGCAGCAGCAGCAGCAGTACCACCAGCAGTACTACCAAGCACCGGGCCAGGTTCCCGGGCAGCCGCCCATCGCTCCTCAGCCTGGCTATGTGGCGGTGGCTGGGCAGCCCGTCTACGGTCAGCCTCAATCACAGCAACAGCCACCGCAGGCGAGCGTGTACGAGGCCGGCGATGGGCAGCCGGCACCTGTTGGCCCGGTCGAAGTGGCGTCCCCGGACACCAGCGGCGGTGTGCTTCTACCGACGGCGTCGACAGCACAGCCTCCCCATCCTGTGCATCCAGACGGTCATCCGTCGTGATGAGATTGGTTCGAGTTGGGGGTTTTCATGGATGTCTGACAATGAGAGAATGAGTAGAGGAACATCGATGAATAATTGATCTATGATTTTATATCCGTGGAAGACTTTTAAATTCCATCTCGATGATGCCTGTGTCATCATATGTAACCCTCACAGAGAGACAACTTGTCGTCTCGCCCTGCTCCGTTTGTTTCTGTCTTTGACACTGCAAGTCCTGGAACGGACAATCTGGCAGCGAGCACGGACAATATCAGGGCCTGCCCCTGGCGATATCGAGCAGCGATGGATTGCACAATGTTGCTAGAAAGGACGCTTTTGTCGATTTGTGACCACGTCTGTGGATATGGACACTGCGGTCCTTTGCCATCCTAGCAAAGCAACGTCGTAACATGTACGGAGGACCGAGCGGTCGACTTGGCTCGGCTTCTTCCTTGCATCAAGAGACATAACACGGCTCTGCATGTCGTCATCTCGTCTCCTGTGCGCCCTCTGCCTTCTCGATAGCCTTGAGAGCGTACATCTTGACGGGCAGCAGCTCTGCCTCGGGCGGGAACCCGCGCTGCAGCTCGGATCGCACCAGGCGGAAGCCGGCCTTGGCGAAGATGGTTTGGAACGACGTTTCGGATCTAGATGTGTCAGTGTCAGCGAGGCCGTGTCAAAGCATACACCAGGCGGCAGGGACAGGGGCCGCACCTCGTCACGCTGCTGTCCTGCGCATCAAAGTCGTCGACGCCCGTGGTCGTCAGGTTCTCCTTGACGACGACGAGGCCCGTGCCGGGCGCCAGGACCGTCCGACACCGCCGCAGGTACGCGACAAACTGGTCGTCGTTGAGGTAGCCCGTGCACCACTGCGTCCACACCAGGTCGTACACCGGCAGCCCCGGCGCCGCCCCGCCGTCGACGCTGTCCGCCTCCGGGGCCCACCCCTCGAGCCCCGTGTTGAAGATGCGCCGCACGCCCGGCTTGCCCGCGAGGGCCGCCGTGAACTTGGCCACGGGCTCAATCACGTCGACCTCGTCGGCCACGTCCAGCAGCAAGCCCTCGGTGACGCGGCCAATGCCCGCGCCGCCCTCGAGCGCCCGCGCGACCCGGCGCAGCCCCCGGCCCTCGGTGCGCCCAATGCCCAGCTTGGCCAGAAAGGTGCGCGAGCCGCGCAGGTCCGCGCGCGACACAAACGCAAAGCCGCCGAGCATGCCGTGGTCGTCGGCGCTGATGGATTCCCAGTAGCGCTTGGCGTCGGCATTGTTGACGCGGGCCTCGGGCGCGTCCTCGGACGAGGTGCCGGGCGGTGGTGGTGCGTGTTTGTCGGCCATCGCGCAGTGTGTTTGTGTTGGTCGTCGAGAGAGGCAGAATGACCAAACGCTTCAGAATGCAGCATCAACGCCGCGAAGCTCCCTGCGACAGCGCCCCACTCTTGCGCCGTCACCGCTGTAATTGTGACACGTGATAGTGCACGTGCAATTCCAATGTCATCCATCGACTTACGGCGTCAACTGGTGGAACAAGACATGACAATTCAGCTTACAATAATTTGACGTCAACGTAGCGGGCGTGGATGTTGATTCCAACCAAATGTCGGACGACTCATGGTGGTGTGCGATACTTGGGTACACGCCTTGATAAGGAGCCTATTTACATGACTTTTTATGAAATGAGTTATGTTGGACTATGGTACTTTAGACCTGTTATCTAGCCTGGCTATTAGACGGCTCTCTATTTGCCAGCTGGCTTAGTGGTAGTGGTCTAGTTCCTATAGTTTTTCATGTTTCCAAGTTTCATCGTTGAATATTTCCTTCGGCTCATTTTCCCAGAGTCAGATCTGTTTACATACATCCAACCACAAGGGCTTTGTCAAATAATCAACGCCCCGCCGTTGGTATGCGCCATGGAGCCCGTCACAAAGCGGTCCTTCATCAGCCACAGGTAGGCCTCGGCCACGTCTTCGGGACGGCCCATGGCGCCGACGGGCAGACGCTTCTCCATGTCGGCAAAGAACTGGTCGCGCTGCTCGTCTGGCAAAAACTTCCACAAGTCCGTCTTGACCAAGCCCGGCAGCACCGTGTTGACGCGCACAGGGGCCATGTCGATGGCCAGCCCCTTGGTCAGGGCCTCCGTGCCGCCCGTGAAAAAGACGACGACGGACCAGTCGGGCGGCGGCAGCTCCGTGGCCTGGCCCGACGTGAAGGTGAGGGAGGACGTGCTGGCTTTGGGTAGGTGGCGCTGGGCGACTTTGGCGAGCAGGATGGGGACGAACATGCGCATCTGGGCGCCCGCGAGGATGCTGTCGCGGGTCACGTCGGCCAGCGGGCCGATGGCCAGGCCGTTGGCGGCGGTGTAGACGACGTGGTCGACGGGGCGGCCGCCGTGGCCGGCGACGGCGGCGACAAAGAGCGCCTCCAGGCGGGCCTCCACGTCCCCCGACGCCAGGTCGCACCGGACGCCCTGGACGCGCTGGACCGCTCCTGCGGGGCCATACTCTGCAGCCAAGGTGCGGACGGCCGTGTCGATGCGGGCTTGTGTCGACGAAGCCACCGTGACGCGGGCCCCGTCTGCCAGGGCCCCCTCGGCAACGGCATAGCCAATCCCGGACGTGCCGCCGATGACGAGGACGTGGCGGTCCTGGAGCTTTTTGAACGTAGAGGGAGCCATGGGGAGGAGGGGGTGGCAGGTGATTTATTTATTTTTCTTGTTTTCTATTTTTTTTTTTTTTTTTGGTTCTTACATTCTACAGAGTCGCCGAGACGAACGAGACAGTTTACTTATACCACGCAGTACTTGCGTCTGGGCATGTTATTGCTTGTCTCTTGATCTGAATGTTGTTTCTAAACACCGTTCTTAAACACCGGTAAAATCAGGAGGCCGTGTGCGGTTTGCCGAGATTTGGTTGTTATGTCCGGAGCTTGCCGTCTTCCTCGCGCTGTCTCCTCGCGCCCATCCTCTCGCGCCCATCCTCTCGCGCCCATCCTCCTGTCTTTTGCTGGCACGCGATGGACTTAAAGGACAACGTCCGAACGCGCGCCATTGCGAAGCGAAGGGTGCACGATTAACTTCCCTTTTTGGCACTAAAACGTAACGACTATGTCCGGTCCGACAAATTTGCTTGGCCAACTTTCTGTTGACCTCGTGGGAGAAGGAGAATTGACAACGCTCGTGGACAAGCACTCGGTGCTGCTCACATTCATATTCTCGTCGCCATGAAGCAGCTCGAATGTTTTGTTCTTACGTAGCGCAATAAAATCCGGTGTGAAGACCTCCACTGCATTGGCATCCTTCTCCATCTCGCGGACTGGACGGTGACCAGACATCAAGACTAAGCATTTGGGCAGTGCTGCAAACTGAAAAGGTACAAGGTAACGGCAACTGAATGTCATTAGTTCAGAACGCGAACTCCGGTACTTGAGACAGCTGCCGAAGAAACTACATAATACAGTCGGACACTTTTCCCAATGTTTATTCAGCTGCGGAATGTATTTCATCTCCCTCTCCATCGTACGTGTAGTCGAAATGTGCACATAGCCGTTGTCATGCATCTGTATCGCGTCCAACGCTATTTCCACTGCAGCACGTTACAAAGTCGTTATCCATCACTCGTTTTCCCAAATCCTTCCTCTTCCTACCCCTCCCACGCCTCACGCCTCACGCCCTCTCGAATGTGCTTTCCTGCAGCTGCATCTCTCCCTCCCCTCCCCTGTTGTGTTCCGATGCCCCCACTCGCCTCGTTTGCTCGTCTGCCGTATTTCTATTTCCCATTCTCTCTTGTGTACGTAACGCCACACTGCACCAACAGAGAATACGACTGTGCAGCTGCAGGCAGCCGTTCTTTGCGTATCCGCTCATGCACTCGACACTGCTCTCGACGGCTGCGAGGCGATGTGGGTGGGCACCGTTGTGTTTGGTGGCGCTGTGACGACTGACTTGATTTGTTCGTGCCGAGCACCTCTTTTCTTTTCCCTTTTCTTTCTTCTCTGTATTTGTTTTTATGTTTTTTTGCTGGGGGGTTTGCCGCAGCTGCAGCGGATAAGGTCACCGCTGTTTTGCTGCTTGGGCGCTGGGCAGAAAAAAGCAATCATGTCCTACGTTCTCATTTCAGCATGCATTGTTCTCAGCTTTGTCCTGCACCTTGCCGAACGCCTGTACTTGACGGCACGCTGTTCCACGGGAGTCTGCAGAAGGAAGACGCAACTGGCCCGGAAAGGACAGAAACAGAACGCAATTACGACGTACGGAGGGCAAGATGAGACGTGAGACGAGGGACACGAGCCGACGAAAGGAATGCCTCTTTGTCAGTTCCTTCTTCTTCGTCTTCTTCTTCTTCTGCTTGGCGCACGCAGGTGTCTCCCTGCCTTTCCATGATCCTACGTTCTGGTCCTCTACGACATCCGACAAAATCGTCGTACTTGGCCTCCAGTTCGACCATCATCATTTTCGGCCAGTAAACATTACTGCGAGGCTGGAGAGGTCCGTCTGTTTTGCCAACATCACCCCGACTTGCCCTTCGCACGATTCACTATTTTCCGAGCGGACGATTTGCCATACACGCTGGGCAAGACAACCATGGACGAGCTGCTTACACCATGGAGCCCCCGTGCGGTCAAGAGAGAGCGCATGGCCAGCATCGAAGCCGCGGCCAGTGGTGCGAGATCCGAAGACAGTGAGGCATCGCTTCCGGGCGATGCGTCGCCCATACGGCCGCCGACACCGGTGGCGTGCCCGCTGCGGTCCGTCGAAATGGACGGGCTCGACCGCAGGGTGACGAGTGACATGCAGAGCATCAAGCAAGAGGTCGAACTGGTGGGCCAGCGGCAGGATGCGGGATGGCAACAGACACTGAGAGCGGCAAAGGAGGAAATCGAACACGACGCGGCCAGCAGCGTCAAGCAGGAGGACCGAGCCATCCTGATGCGCGTTCCGGACCCACGACAGCCGCCACATCGTCCTCCTCCTCCCACAGAGGATACTTTGCACGCTCGGCCGCAACATCAGCCGCGCGTTGAGTCGCTTGTGCCGTGGCAAGCCGCTCCTCGACTGGAACAAGGCCGAGAACAACTGCCACCCGCCCTGTACAATGACCAGCGGCAAGATGGTCCGCAGACCCGAGGATGCTTTCGACTACCAGGTTTTGCAAGACACAGCAGGTCGCCAGAGCCATCGTGGCAGCGTCCACACGGTGACTACGGGGCGGACACATCGTTCTCGCCGCCGTATCCGCGGCCGATCCGATATGTGGACTTGTCACAGAACTTCCCAGCTCCGCGTCGACAGGCACCACAGAGCGATGCACCACCTCAACGACAGCAACAACAACAGCAACAACAGTGGCCACGCGATTCACAGCAGCATGCTCGGTCTGCACATTCACCCGAGCGGCAACAAGACGAGCGACTGCGCAAAGAGCCCCAGCCAGACCCGCGATGCAACGACTCCGACGGTGACATACGCACTGCGTCTCAACTCGGCCCGGAGGCCCAGCCGACTCCGTCAAAGCGACAGCGGAGAGCCGGCGGTGAATCGACGGCGGAACACAAGAGGACCAGAACGGGACGGGCTCGTGGCCGAACCCAGAACGACGCTGCGCCGGGTCGCAGCCTGCCACTGTCTGGGTCCGCAAGGCAGCAAAACCACTCGACGCGCGAGCTGCGGCCCAACGACAACGTCATCCGGTTCGGCCTCGACGTCTGGTTCCACGGGCCCAAGTCGACCCTCTTGCCGCTGACAACGGACGCGCTTGCCTCGAGCTTCGACAACACCGTCTCCTTTTCGGGAGGCGGGTCCTTTACGTTTACGTCAGTACCCGCGCTGGCGGACGCAGCAGGCACCACAACGACGGCGACGCCGGACGGCGCGAGCAACGCAGCCACGACAGTGGCTGCCACGGACGTAGCGAGCGCCATGAGCAGCGCGGTCACCAGCGCAGTCACCAGTGCCGTGGCTGCGGGGATGACACATGCGGCCGGACATGCCGACTTTGCACGCCCCACCGACACGTCCGAAACGTCCAACACCATTGGCCATCGGCGCCGTCGCAGCGGCACCGCGGCCCAAGACCGCGCCGCGTGGCGTGTCCGTCGGCTGCAGGAACAGCACGAGGGGCTGCGGCAGGCCAACGAGCAGCGGATGCAGGACTACGAAGAGGACGTGCGGCAGCAGACTATGCGGCGCGTGGCCCACGAGGTCGAGCAGCGACAACGCATGCGGGGCTGGCGCTGGGACCGCGATCCGCGCGGTCTTGTCTTGCCGCCGATGCAGGCGGGAAGGCAGGCGACGATATTCCAAGCGTCCCAAGCGTCCCAGGCCCAAATGCCACCCATGGCAACAAGCCCTCTGTCCTCGCCTCCCAACAACAGCATGTCCAGGCAGCTCCTCCAACCTGGCCCTGCGGCATATTCACCACCTGCCTATGGGCACCCTGCTGCTGCTTCTGCTTCTGCTAATGCTGCTGCCAGGACAGCAATACCCGCAACATCCTTTGTACAAAGCGACCGCCCGGACGGCAACGGTATGCAGGGTGACGGCTGGCCGTTCATGTCGCCACCCCAGGCCGGGCCGCCCACGCAGTCACCGCAGTCGCCCGAGACGCCGCAGTTTTACAACACCGCCGGAGAATACACCCACCAGCCCGGCCGATCGCTTCTCGGGGCTGCTCGACCGGCTTGGACGGCGGTGCGGGAGGGCCCGACGGCAGAGGAGGCGCAAAGGCAAGGAGCCGTCGGGTTTGGCAATCCGTGCTACTGCAACGATTGTCGTGGGGCAAGCAATCAGTTTGGCAGCAATGGAAGCCCCAGCTAGGCCAACTCCTTGAGACAGAGAGTCATCACTGTTGTGTCCAAAAGTGGTTGTCTTGCGTTTGGTCTTATGGCTACGAAGATAGAAACACATTCACAGTCACGATGCCTCAGATTGACAGATGCAGAGTGAACAAAGTGGAAGCAATTTGTTATACAAACTAAACTGAACAATATAAAAGGAAACCAGAAAACCAGATACCAGAAAACCAGAAAACCAGATACCAGAAAACCAGAAAACCAGAAACCAGAAACCAGAAACCAGAAACCAGAAACCAGAAACCAGAAACGAGAAACCAGAAAACCAGAAGACAAGATTGACAATCCAAAATATTGAAAGCCATCCAAAACACAACCTAAATTGTGATATATTGTAGATTTTCGATTGTTTTTGGCGTTGTAGGACCCGGATGAGAATGCCACTGTTTGTTGTGTCCGTTGGGAGTTTTTTTTTTTCTTTGTCTCGACGTCAACTTTTTCCGCTTGGGCCTTTTCTTGCTCCAAGCGATTAGTGATGTCGTCTGACCAGTGCGCGCAGGCCGCGGCGAAAAACCGCTCCGAGGGCCCGGAACGACAGGCAGCCCTCGCCAAACTCGAACGAGTGCAACGAGGAGCAGGCCAGCGAGCCGGCGGACGCGGCCGAAGGCGAGCGGGCCAGCACAACGCCCTCCTGTGCCACAAAGTACGCCCATTCGCCCTCGTCCGCGACAAGCGCGCCTTCCGAGAGGTCGCTGAGCACCGAGGACGCATCCGAGGCAGCGTCGTCCTCGTCGGCGACATGTGCATCTGCCTCGGGCGCCTCGGGCGCCTCAGGCTCCGCAGGCTCCGTCTCCTCTGGAATGGTCAAGAGGTCAGGCTTGACAGTGGCGCGCGGCACTGCAGAGTGGCGCTCGCCCTTTGTGGTGCGACGCACACTGTGCTGGTCCGCATTATCACGAATCTGCTGCGCGCGCAGCTCCATCATGGAGCGGAAGGCGTGCGCGTTGTGGACATAGTAGTAGCCGTCCACAGCAGCATCGTGCTCTTGCGCCTCGTCGCTGCTGGCAGTGCCAGACACGACGGGCGTAGTGGACTGGGCAGGCGCCTGAGGCACCTGTGGAGCCTGATGAGCAAAGGGCATGACGAGCATCTGCGCCAGAATGACGTCTGGGTGGGAGAGGATGCTCGCGCTGCTGCCCTCGCTGGTCTGATTCGTAGCCTCGTCACCGCCGACCTCGGAGCCGTGGCCAGAGACGTTGATGTGGAGGGGTCCACGGTGGTCGCTTCTCGGCGCCTTCTCCTTCTTGCCAAAAAGGCGAGAATTGGTAGGGAAGTGCATTTTGCAAGTTGTGTGGTGTGTGGTGTGTAGGGTTGTCGGGTTGTAAGAAAACCAAAGTCAGGTGTCAAGGGTTTGAGCAAGTAGGTCAGTACGAGAGTAGCAGACGAACTTGGAAAGAGACGATCAACTTTTTGTTTCCTTGGGAGAGAAGGAAGAAAAGAAACGCACCTTGGGAGGGAACGAGGCCGGCCATTTATAGAGGAAAGACGAGGGCGTCAACTCATCGCCCTCGGTACGTACATCCAGCTTATGATGCATGCCGGCTTCCCAAAACCAAAGAAATGACGATGCCAATGACGATGCATCGTCATCTCTATGCACTAGAAGCAAACAGAACCAAACGGTGTACTCATGACAGGGACGTGTGTAAGGACATTGGAGTCATCATGGCCTCCAGGTTCGTTACTGATCGCTCTGGCTCCTCGATGCAGCTAATTTGGACGCTCGTGACGACATAAATTTGAGCAGAAACCTTTCGATATGCCTTACGAATGCACATACTTGAATCCTCACTCATGCTTTAATATCTGATATGATCATTATACATGTAGACATGTAGACATCTGCCATACACCATTTTGTTTCCCGACGTACGCACTTGTCGAGGGCTCTTTGTGGATCACGATCTTCCACCACATTTCAGGCCGCCATTTCACTCTCCGTCGTTCTTTTTTATTCCGTGCTTCCTAGTACTTTCGATTTTATGCTTAAACAAAAGGCTACTATAGAAAGAAGCAGCGATTTATTTTACTTTTCGTGCAACACAGTCGTTCAGTCCATTTTAAGCGCCGAGGTGATATGGAGAAAAGAACGAATCAGAATAGAGGACGGCCACGCTCGCAAACGACACCAGAACCCAATGGAAACAAAAATGAAGAGTAAAAATAATAAACCAACACCACCATTACCCGCGATACTCTAGTTTAGTCCATTGTGACGAGCACATTGACGTTTCACGAGTGGAAGATGTGGCACCCCTGTAAGCGGGGTTTCCCAAATAGGAAATTTATTTATAAGCCCCTGCACTCTGATTGGTGGCCCTTGTTTCATCGCGATCCCAAAAAAGTTATGGTCACAAGACGGCCGGATGTGATTCGATGGTCGCACCGTTTTTCTCGGAGGTGACGACGCAAACAAAGAAGACACGCCCGTTGTTCGTATGCTCATTCATCGACGCATGCAAAGACGTGAACCCTGGATACGAGGGAACAGTCACCAGCTGCTGTTCTGCGATGGCTAGAGACGGTGATGGAAAATGACGTCCTATTGGAACGGTGTCAGGTAAAATATTACTACGGATAGAACGTGTGTAACTGTGTAAGCGTATGGGGCACATAAATGAACATTATAGAATGTCGTAGAACAGCATAAAACGTCATAAGAAATACAGTCATGAGAAAAATGCGCCGAAGGAAGTCGACAACACTTGCCCCTTTGAAACGAGTCCCAAGATCTTACATCACCAAACTGTACAGCTCCAGAGGATGGCGGTACGTGCGGGCCAGCGTCTGCCTCGTAGCCCGAATGCCTGTGTGAGACGGCGGGCCTTCGCGGGGGCGCCAGTGCAAAATTCGCGCGTAGCTCTCGACCGTGTCGTCGGCCATGGCCAACAGCATGTCAAACTGCGCGCGGGTGAGAACCGTATCGGCATCGGGTCGGATGGGGTGCTCGCCGCAAATGTCACTGCCGCCGCCGTAGATAACATTGGTGAGTGTGCGCAGACCGCCTCGGAGGCGCACGGCTGTGAACTGTGCCATGAGATTGAGGTTGCTGGGAGAGGCCATGCCTTGCTCTTGAATCGTACCATTGGCGGGCGCACCCCCACTTTGTCGGGTGTCCTTGGCCCCGTCAATAGGATCGTTCCCCGTTTCGGGGCTGGGGACGATGTCGTTTTCATTGGGCGCCGTATCGCTTTGAGCGCCATCACCGTTTGCGCGACTGTTCTGGTCCTCAACCTTATCGTACTTCAAGTGTATGCCGTCGTGGTTGCCAAAGTCCTTGTACACATCGTACTCGGCATACTGAGCCTCGTCTTCGTCGTCGGGCAGCCGGGCGCTTGCCGGAACGGGCTCGTATGGCTTCTCAGCCTCATAGTCGTTGTAGACACGCGGCTGGGATTGTTTCGTCTTGCAGTCGTGTAAAAAGGTTTCCCACTCCAGGTCGAGCTGCCGACCGTGCCGCCACCAGAACTCCGGAGTCATGTTGGCGGAACTCTCGCAGCTCTCCAAACGGTAGGTGCGGCCTGTGAGAGGCGTCGGTTTCGGCGTCTGGGTACGGTCTGGAATCGTTAGTGCCTCGACGGTGACAGATTCAGGAACCGTCTTTGCCCAGTCACTGGCTCCCTCGGCCAGATCCATGCGTAGAGCGTGCTCGCTGAACACGGCAAAAGCAAGCGCCACAAACTTGGCCCAGAAGACTTGCTTGTAACAAGTTGCAACGGGTGTGGTGGGCGATAGAGATGCCACTGCCGTTGTTGGCACCTCAGCTTGGTAGACAGACTGTGACAGAAGGCCCATTTTCTCTGCGTTGTGCACGAGATGCCGCACGAGATCAGCCAGCCCTGTCGCCGCCGCTTCCACTTGAGAGGACGTCGCGTGGCCTGCAATTTGATGTAGGGCAATGCACGTGTGCGTCCACTCTTTGTAGGCACCCACGGCAATTGCATACTCGGATATGGCCAAGCTGGTGGCACGGTTGTTTTCTTCGCAGCCATTATCCGTGGGCGAACGTGCGTCATGGCTCTCGCGATTTGTCGGGCGGCGTGTCTGATTCCACTGACTAAGCCGAGGTGGAGGCTGCAATGGTGGCGGCTCAGTTGGCAGCGTCGACACACGTGCTCCTTTGGTTGCGGTTCCAAAAGAAGGCAGCGAAGCCAACATCGGTAGTGGTACAGCTGCCGGCGGTGGCCCGTCGCAGCTCGTGTGCAGAAAGCAGCGAACTGGTGAGTGTGTTCCAAAGTCGGGCAAGAAGTTAATCACTCGCGTGCCCATGGGCATACCAAGAGGCGAGTCTGAGAGGCTCGTATGCTCGATGTAGGGCATCGGGACCTGATCTCTCGTACCAGTACCGTTCCCTCCCACATGCGTCGTGGTAGGTATGAACATCCCTGCAGCGGGCTTGCCATAAAAGAAGTACGGTGCCCAGCTGCAGGATGGTCCGAGATTGTAGGGGGAAGGGACTTGGGCTGTTCTCACGCCAGTCTCTGGCGGGCGCATTGCAAAGTGTTTCGGGTCACGGTTCAGCTGGATACCCGTCGCGCGCTCCTCTTCGCACCGCAGGAGCGCTTGGATGTGGTCTTCTTCAGTCCCCTCGCTTAGAGGGAACGTCTCACCGTCATCGGCAAGCAAGATCAGGGACGGTCGCGGCGGTGATTGCAGATCCGATTGTGTCAAAGGAGGTGTAGATGGTCCCACCGTGACAGTTTCTGACGAAGCCTCGGACGGAGCGTTGGCGGTGACTTGAATGTCTTGTTGTAAAAAAAAGTACTTGGACTCAGGAAAGCTCACTGACGCAGCGGCAGCAGCAGCTACTGTCCTTGCCGCCGCTCGGGCATCCGCTGTTTCTTGAGTGATTGTGACGGTACTGCTGGCTGTGCTCTTGCTGTCATCACCACTGCCGTCACTCAGCTGCATCAGCAAAGCCTCCAGTTCTTCTTCACTGTCGCTACCACTGTCGCTGTCGCTGTG